TCACGCACACAGACACTCACGCACACAGACACTCACGCACACAGACACTCACGCACACAGACACTCACACACACAGACACTCACTCACACACACACACTCACACAGACACTCACACACACAGACACTCACGCACACAGACACTCACGCACACAGACACTCACGCACACAGACACTCACTCACACAGACACTCACTCACACACACACACTCACACAGACACTCACGCACACAGACACTCACGCACACAGACACTCACTCACACAGACACTCACTCACACACACACACTCACACAGACACTCACGCACACAGACACTCACGCACACAGACACTCACTCACACAGACACTCACTCACACACACACACTCACACAGACACTCACGCACACAGACACTCACGCACACAGACACTCACGCACACAGACACTCCGCACACAGACACTCACACACACAGACACTCACACACACAGACACTCACTCACACAGACACTCACTCACACAGACACTCACTCACACAGACACTCACTCACACACACACACTCACACAGACACTCACTCACACAGACACTCACTCACACAGACACTCACTCACACACACACACTCACACAGACACACACTCACACAGACACTCACTCACACACACACACTCACACAGACACTCACTCACACAGACACTCACTCACACAGACACTCACTCACACAGACACACACTCACACAGACACTCACTCACACAGACACTCACACACACACACACTCACTCACACAGACACTCACTCACACAGACACTCACACACACAGACACTCACGCACACTGACACTCACGCACACAGACACTCACTCACACAGACACTCACACACACAGACACTCACACACACAGACACTCACTCACACAGACACTCACACACACAGACACTCACTCACACAGACACTCACGCACACAGACACTCACGCACACAGACACTCACGCACACAGACACTCACTCACACAGACACTCACTCACACACACACACTCACACAGACACTCACTCACACAGACACTCACTCACACAGACACTCACTCACACAGACACTCACTCACACACACACACTCACACAGACACTCACTCACACAGACACTCACTCACACAGACACTCACTCACACAGACACTGACATTCACACACACACTAAAATTCACACGCTTCATTCTATTTTATACATCTATAGTTGTATTGATCTTTGTGTTGTTGTTGTTTGACGTTTTGGTTGATGGAATAGAAGAAAGTTAAATTTTCTATCTGTGAATAAATTGCCAACAATTTGCCATCAAAAGTATTATTTCAGAGTCATGTTTTTATAATTTTTGTAATGGAACAAGTGTGAAGATGTTTTGAGTTGTCACTAAAGCAGCAAAAATGGATCTAAAAGTCTCTTTTCTGCTTGATATGTTCCTGTTTACATACAGCTCCTTTTCTCTGTTTTCTTGCTCAGACCAGGTGTTATGGGTGAAAGTATGCTTTGTTCTATGGCAAATAGCTTAAGAACGGTAAGAGGTAGAAACTGTTTTTTTCAGAGTAAAGCAGAGAGCTTAATCTTTAATTTGGTGCCCTTGGTGTTTACATCGTCTAAAAAATGAATATTCTGTGGCACTTCAAAGTTGGGTCAAATCACCTGAAATTGCTGGCAGAATGCACTTCTCAAATCTGAAAATGCCTGGCAGTCAGTGAGTTAAGTATTGATAGGCGGAACTCGCCTATTTTTGGGCATCTTCTGGTCCTCCCGGTTCTGCGCAGTTGACGAGCTCCCATGATGCTTTGCACCAAATACGCGTGTGTGGCTCTCATGCACGTGCACATAGGGGCCGCGCTCTGACCAATCAGAGCTGCTGATCAGAGCGAGAGTGAGAGCGGGAGTAAGAGCCAGACGAGTAGAGTTTGTGGCAGTAAAATGTGGATTTAAAGAAAACTGAAGGATTTAAGAAGAAAAAAAGTTCAGGATGACAAGGGACACAAAAATCCCCACAAAATCCGACCTTTATGAAAGCTGTAGGTTCTCTGTCAGGTTCTCTGTCAGCTGAGGTCGAGCTGTTTTAGTTTACATTGAGTTCTATGGGGACAATTTCTGGGTAGCCCACGTGAATTTATTCTGCAGTACCACGAGAATCCTTCGAGCTACAAGCTAGTAATACCCTATCCAGTTATTATAATAGATCCATGTATACAACGCACCTGTGGCACAACCATGGAACTATAATAATAACTGGATAGTGTATTCCTAGCTTATAGCTGTCCCACCCATGGGCACAGCGGGCGCTGTGGTACTGCAGACTAAATTCATGAGGGCTACCCAGAAAAAGTCCCATTGAACTCAATGTAAATTAAAACAGCTCGACCTCAGCTGACAGAGAACCTGACAGAGAACCCACAGCTTTCATAAAGTTCTGATTTTCTGGGGATTTTAGTGTCCCTTGTCATCCTGAACTTTTTTTCTTCTTAAATCCTTCAGTTTTCTTTAAAGTGGTTCTCACTCCCGCTCCTCGGAGCTTACGTCACTCACATTTCCTGTTCAAATCTTCCTCTAAATGGGCGTGGCCTGGAGGACTAAAGGGGGCGTGAACGAGACTGGGCCGTTTATATTGCTCTGGGCGGGGGGCTGCTGACGTCAGGTCTTGCTGCTGACGTCAGGTCTTGCTTCAGACGTCATGTCTTGCTTCAGACGTCAGGTCTTGCTTCAGACGTCAGGTCTTGCTGCCGCGCCAGTGTTGGCGCCAGATTCAAAATTCAAATGTAGTAATACAGGTCGCCAGCAGATGGCGCCTCACAGACGGTTTTAGGCAGAAAGTTTAACTTTCAACTAATTTGCACCAAAGTGACAAGATTATGACCAGGATATGTAGACAACACTATTGGACACTCATTTATACCGTTTATCAGCAAAAAAACTCTCGCTCTGATCAGCAGCTCTGATTGGTCAGAGCGCGGCCCCTATGTGCACGTGCATGAGAGCCACACACGCATATTTGGTGCAAAGCATCATGGGAGCTCGTCAACTGCGCAGAACCGGGAGGACCAGAAGATGCCCAAAAATAGGCGAGTTCCGCTAATAGGGGTGTGACGATACTTTCTCCCGCGATTCGATTATTGATATGCATTTGCCAAGTATCAATATAAATTTTGAATTTTTTTTTTCGTTTTTATTGGTATCAATACTTAATATATGGCAACATTACGCATCTCCATTCTATTTATCATGAAATAAAGAGTATTTTTTATTTTATTTATGCCATAAATTGGCATATTGTATATTTCTGACCAATATATCAATAATCGTCATATCGTGATAAAATCGTTTTCGTAATCTTTATCGTGAGCTTTGTATCGTGTATCGTATCGTATCGTGAGGTCAGCTGATTCACTGTTTTGCCAAAGCCAAATTCATGAACAGAGCAGGTCGGAGCATGAGTGGGTTCATCATGGCTCCTTGAAGTTACTAACAACCTTTTGGCACAAACTTAATTTTGATATTTTTTTTCATTTAGACTTTAATTGTTGCTGTTTGAATAAATAAAAACATCTTAGATCATTGTTGTGTTTTTTTCTGCATTAACAAAAATGCTCCTCGCTTTAGATTAAGGTACTGCAAAATAGTGTAATAAGCAGTTTATTAACGCATATTGTTAGTGGCCTATTACCACTATTGCCTATTAATAAGCAGCTTATTAATATCTTTATAGGCATATTGTTAGTGGCCTATTAACATGGTATCAATAATAGTTTAATAAGCAGCTTATTCATATATTTATAAACATATTCCTCCTTTAATAAGTATCTTACTTATTATTAAATGCTTAAAAGCATATAACTAGAACAACATCATTTAGAGAATAGTGAAATGAGCAGCTTATTAATATGTTTATAAGTACATATAAGCAATCTATAAGCATGTTGCTAATGTCTATTAATACCTTATTAATACTTAACAAGCACACCTTAATATAAAGCGTTACCCTGTGGCTAAACTAAACACTGAACTGTACCAGTGTTTTAGGGTCAATGACAACAAACAAAATGTCCGCCGCTGTCGTTACTGCTGCGTGTTCACAGACTGTGGTGTAGTTCCCTGTTTGTCCAGAGGAGGGCGCTCTACTTAAACACAGTCATTCACACAGTACCATCAACAGAGTCGTTCACACCGTACCATCAACAGAGTCGTTCACACCGTACCATCAACAGAGTCGTTCACACCGTACCATCAACAGCTCCAGATGTTTTGGACGTATATTAATATTTTTTAATAATATATTATTCATAATCAGAGATTGATTCTAGTTTTATCCCTGTCCAGTGACATCACACGTCCTAAATGTTACTATTATGTCCCCAAAGTTCAATGCCATTTTTCAATGAATAATTAAGGCTAAATAAAGCTTTAACTCCAGCTCTAACCTCAGCTCTAACCTCAGCTCTAACTTAGCTCTAACTTAGCTCTAACTTAGCTCTAACTTAGCTCTAACTTAGCTCTAACCTAGCTCTAACTTAGCTCTAACTTAGCTCTAACTTAGCTCTAACTTAGCTCTAACTTAGCTCTAACTTAGCTCTAACCTAGCTCTAACTTAGCTCTAACTTAGCTCTAACTTAGCTCTAACTTAGCTCTAACTTAGCTCTAACTTAGCTCTAACTTAGCTCTAACCTACAGGTCCCTGACATAAACTCTGTGTTTTGTCTCAGTCTCGATCATAAACACGGCCGATAACCACATATTTAAATTCACCTTGAGCCGCCGGTGCGTTTGCCGCTGCCTTCACTCAGATTGACAGCGATTGGACCTGACGGTTCTGACGGTTCTAACGTCTTTAACGTCCGCGGCTCAGAGTTTGAGTAAATTGCTTCTTGCTTCTCGTTGGGAGCGAGTCTCAGAGTAATTGTCCTTCACCTCGACGCAGACGTGTGTAATCCCCAGTCGCTGAAACTACACCTGAACAACATCATTAATCGCATTACTCAAGTCATCCCGTGTTCCAATTATCCGGCTCGATCGGACGACCCCCCTCCTCCACGGCGGCCACGGCTGCTCCAGTCTCTGTGGCTGTTCCTGGGCTGACTCGTCCTCAGGAATCCGCCTGCCGCCTCCTTCTGCTGCTTTGACCGTGTCCTCGGATGTCCCGCACTTAAACACAGCAGCGATTGGTCGGTTCTTATCGCCGCGGTGCAGGTCTGACGGTACCAGGGAGCGCCGAGGCAGTACCAGGGAGCGCCGAGACGATACCAGCGGGTCTGACAGTACCAGGGAGCGCAGAGACGATACCAGCGGGTCTGACAGTACCAGGGAGCGCCGAGGCAGTACCAGCGGGTCTGACGGTACCAGGGAGCGCCGAGGCAGTACCAGCGGGTCTGACAGTACCAGGGAGCGCAGAGACGATACCAGCGGGTCTGACGGTACCAGGGAGCGCCGAGACGATACCAGCGGGTCTGACAGTACCAGGGAGCGCAGAGACGATACCAGCGGGTCTGACAGTACCAGGGAGCGCAGAGACGATACCAGCGGGTCTGACGGTACCAGGGAGCGCCGAGGCAGTACCAGCGGGTCTGACGGTACCAGGGAGCGCCGAGACGATACCAGCGGGTCTGACAGTACCAGGGAGCGCAGAGACGATACCAGCGGGTCTGACGGTACCAGGGAGCGCAGAGACGATACCAGCGGGTCTGACAGTACCAGGGAGCGCCGAGGCAGTACCAGCGGGTTTGACGGTACCAGGGAGCGCCGAGGCAGTACCAGCGGGTCTGACAGTACCAGGGAGCGCCGAGGCAGTACCAGCGGGTCTGACAGTACCAGGGAGCGCCGAGGCAGTACCAGCGGGTCTGACGGTACCAGGGAGCGCCGAGGCAGTACCAGCGGGTCTGACAGTACCAGGGAGCGTCGAGGCAGTACCAGCGGGTCTGACGGTACCAGGGAGCGCCGAGGCAGTACCAGCGGGTCTGACAGTACCAGGGAGCGTCGAGGCAGTACCAGCGGGTCTGACGGTACCAGGGAGCGCCGAGGCAGTACCAGCGGGTCTGACGGTACCAGGGAGCACAGAGACGATACCAGCGGTTCTGACAGTACCAGGGAGCGCCGAGACGATACCAGCGGTTCTGACAGTACCAGGGAGCACAGAGACGATACCAGCGGTTCTGACAGTACCAGGGAGCGCAGAGACGATACCAGCGGGTCTGACAGTACCAGGGAGCGCCGAGGCAGTACCAGCGGGTCTGACGGTACCAGGGAGCGCCGAGGCAGTACCAGCGGTTCTGACAGTACCAGGGAACGCCGAGACGATACCAGCGGTTCTGACAGTACCAGGGAACGCCGAGACGATACCAGCGGTTCTGACAGTACCAGGGAACGCCGAGACGATACCAGCGGTTCTGACAGTACCAGGGAACGCCGAGACGATACCAGCGGGTCTGAAACACGCCACCGTCAAAGTGGAGATACGAGGGTTAGCAAGACAATCACTACATCATCAGATCATAGTCATAGAGGCTCGTGATGCTAATGTACAGAATACAGAATGTTTATTAGCTTCTTATTATGCTAAAGCTAGAGATTTTATACTAGCTTCTTTATTATGCTAAAGCTAGAGATTTATACTAGCTTCTTTATTATGCTAAAGCTAGAGATTTTATACTAGCTTCTTTATTATGCTAAAGCTAGAGATTTTATACTAGCTTCTTTATTATGCTAAAGCTAGAGATTTTATACTAGCTTCTTTATTATGCTAACGCTAGAGATTTTATACTAGCTTCTTTATTATGCTAAAGCTAGAGATTTATACTAGCTTCTTTATTATGCTAAAGCTAGAGATTTTATACTAGCTTCTTTATTATGCTAAAGCTAGATTTTATACTTGAGTTCAAAAGCACATATTTTTGCTCTGCTCAGTAATTAATTTGAGCATTACCTGTGAAACATGGTCTTCCCCTGGTCCTGTACCTGGTCTTCCTCTGGTCCTGTGCCTGGTCTTCCTCTGGTCTTCCTCTGGTCCTGTGCCTGGTCTTCCTCTGGTCTTCCTCTGGTCCTGTGCCTGGTCTTCCTCTGGTCTTCCTCTGGTCCTGTGCCTGGTCTTTCTCTGGTCTTCCTCTGGTCCTGTACCTGGTCTTCCTCTGGTCCTGTGCCTGGTCTTTCTCTGGTCTTCCTCTGGTCCTGTGCCTGGTCTTCCTCTGGTCTTCCTCTGGTCCTGTGCCTGGTCTTCCTCTGGTCTTCCTCTGGTCCTGTGCCTGGTCTTTCTCTGGTCTTCCTCTGGTCCTGTACCTGGTCTTCCTCTGGTCTTCCTCTGGTCCTGTACCTGGTCTTCCTCTGGTCTTCCTCTGGTCCTGTGCCTGGTCTTCCTCTGGTCTTCCTCTGGTCCTGTGCCTGGTCTTCCTCGGGTCCTGTGTCTGGTCTTCCTCGGGTCCTGTGCCTGGTCTTCCTCTGGTCTTCCTCTGGTCCTGTGCCTGGTCTTTCTCTGGTCTTCCTCTGGTCCTGTACCTGGTCTTCCTCTGGTCTTCCTCTGGTCCTGTGCCTGGTCTTCCTCTGGTCTTCCTCTGGTCCTGTGCCTGGTCTTCCTCTGGTCCTGTGCCTGGTCTTCCTCGGGTCCTGTGCCTGGTCTTCCTCTGGTCCTCTAAGACTTTATGACAGTATTTACCAAACCCTCGTCATCATCACTGAGTAAATGTTTTGTAAAAATGAATCATTCATGAGTTTGATCTGAGTCTCTGCTGACGATGGTTCGTGATGAGATGGACCTTTAATCAATATTTACACACACTTTAACACTTTAACACTTTAACACTTTAGCACTTTAGCACTTTAACAGTTTAGCACTTTAACAGTTTAACAGTGTAGCACTTTAACAGTTTAGCACTTTAACAGTTTAGCACTTTAACAGTTTAACAGTGTAGCACTTTAACAGTTTAGCACTTTAACAGTTTAGCACTTTAACAGTTTAACAGTTTAACACTAACACTTTAGCACTTTAGCACTTTAACAGTTTAGCACTTTAACAGTTTAACAATTTAGCACTTTAACAGTTTAGCACTTTAACAGTTTAGCACTTTAACAGTTTAACAGTTTAACACTTTAACACTTTAGCACTTTAGCACTTTAACAGTTTAGCACTTTAACAGTTTAACAGTGTAGCACTTTAACAGTTTAGCACTTTAACAGTTTAGCACTTTAACAGTTTAACAGTTTAACACTAACAGTTTAACAGTTTAGCACTTTAGCAGTTTAACAGTTTAACAGTTTAACAGTTTAACAGTTTAACAGTTTAGCACTTTAACAGTTTAACACTTTAACAGTTTAACAGTTTAGCACTTTAACAGTTTAACAGTTTAACAGTTTAGCACTTTAACAGTTTAACAGTTTAACAGTGTAGCACTTTAACAGTTTATCACTTTAACAGTTTAACAGTTTAGCACTTTAGCACTTTAACAGTTTAACACTTTAACAGTTTAACAGTGTAGCACTTTAACAGTTTAACACTTTAACAGTTTAGCACTTTAACAGTTTAACACTTTAACAGTTTAACAGTTTAACAGTTTAGCACTTTAACAGTTTAATACTTTAACAGTTTAACAGTTTAGCACTTTAGCACTTTAACAGTTTAGCACTTTAACAGTTTAACACTTTAACAGTTTAACAGTTTAGCACTTTAGCAGTTTAACAGTTTAGCACTTTAGCACTTTAACAGTTTAACAGTTTAGCACTTTAGCACTTTAACAGTTTAACACTTTAACACTTTAACAGTTTAACAGTTTAGCACTTTAACAGTTTAGCACTTTAGCACTTTAACAGTTTAACACTTTAACACTTTAACAGTTTAACAGTTTAGCACTTTAACAGTTTAGCACTTTAACAGTTTAACAGTCTAACAGTCTAACACTGTATTAGTTTTTAAAAGAACCTTTGACAAAGCTCCAGCTTTCTTAACGCCACTTAAATGTTATTTTTTTTATTGTGAAAGTGCAAAAAGGGAGAGAGGTTTTAAGCCCCGCCCACACTCTTCCTCCTCGTCCTCACTGCTCCTCCTGCTCATCCTGGTCCTCACTGCTCATCCTGGTCCTCACTGATCCTCCTGGTCCTCACTGATCCTCCTGCTCCTCACTGATCCTCCTGCTCCTCCTGGTCCTCACTGCTCCTCCTGCTCCTCACTGATCCTCCTGGTTTCCCCTACCACTAAAAACATGCACAATAGGTCTGAATGTAAATGAGAGAGTGAATGATGGTGTTGGAGCTGATGGTCCAGTGTGTTCTGGACTCGCTTCTGTCATCACCGTGTGTGGAAGGATTGGAACAATATCTGACTCTGAACATTGGAAAGTGCTTTGGGTCTGTGCCTTGGTCTGTACCTTTGGGTCTGTACCTTTGGGTCTGTACCTTTGTCTGTACCTTTGGGTCTGTACCTTTGGGTTTGTACCTTTGGGTCTGTACCTTTGGGTCTGTACCTTTGGGTCTGTACCTTTGGGTTTGTACCTTTGGGTCTGTACCTTTGGGTCTGTACCTGTGGGTCTGTACCTTTGGGTCTGTAACTTTGGGTCTGTACCTGTGGGTCTGTACCTTTGGGTCTGTACCTTTGGGTCTGTACCTTTGGGTCTGTACCTTTGGGTCTGACCTTTGGGTCTGTACCTGTGGGTCTGTACCTTTGGGTCTGTACCTTTGGGTCTGTACCTTTGGGTCTGTACCTTTGGGTCTGTATCCTTTGGGTCTGTACCTTTGGGTCTGTACCTTTGGGTCTGTACCTTTGGGTCTGTACCTTTGGGTCTGACCTTTGGGTCTGTACCTTTGGGTCTGTACCTTTGGGTCTGTACCTTTGGGTCTGTACCTTTGGGTCTGTACCTTTGGGTCTGTACCTGTGGGTCTGTGCCTTTGGGTCTGTACCTTTGGGTCTGTACCTGTGGGTCTGTACCTTTGGGTCTGTACCTTTGGGTCTGTACCTTTGGGTCTGTATCCTTTGGGTCTGTACCTTTGGGTCTGTACCTTTGGGTCTGTACCTTTGGGTCTGTACCTTTGGGTCTGTACCTTTGGGTCTGACCTTTGGGTCTGTACCTTTGGGTCTGTACCTGTGGGTCTGTGCCTTTGGGTCTGTACCTGTGGGTCTGTGCCTTTGGGTCTGTGCCTTTGGGTCTGTACCTTGGTCTGTACCTTTGGGTCTGTACCTTTGGGTCTGTACCTTGGTCTGTACCTTTGGGTCTGTACCTTTGGGTCTGTACCTTGGTCTGTACCTGTGGGTCTGTACCTTTGGGTCTGTGCCTTTGGGTCTGTACCTTTGGGTCTGTACCTTTGGGTCTGTACCTTTGGGTCTGTACCTGTGGGTCTGTACCTTTGGGTCTGTACCTTTGGGTCTGTGCCTTTGGGTCTGTACCTTTGGGTCTGTACCTTTGGGTCTGTACCTTTGGGTCTGTACCTGTGGGTCTGTACCTTTGGGTCTGTACCTTTGGGTCTGTGCCTTTGGGTCTGTACCTTTGGGTCTGTACCTTTGGGTCTGTACCTTTGGGTCTGTACCTTTGGGTCTGTGCCTTTGGGTCTGTACCTTGGTCTGTACCTTTGGGTCTGTACCTTTGGGTCTGTACCTTTGGGTCTGTACCTTTGGGTCTGTACCTTTGGGTCTGTGCCTTTGGGTCTGTACCTTTGGGTCTGTACCTTGGTCTGTACCTTTGGGTCTGTACCTTTGGGTCTGTACCTGTGGGTCTGTACCTGTGGGTCTGTGCCTTTGGGTCTGTACCTTGGTCTCTACCTTTGGGTCTGTACCTTTGGGTCTCTACCTTTGGGTCTGTACCTGTGGGTCTGTGCCTTTGGGTCTGTACCTTGGTCTGTACCTTTGGGTCTGTACCTGTGGGTCTGTACCTTTGGGTCTGTACCTTTGGGTCTGTACCTTTGGGTCTGTACCTTTGGGTCTGTACCTTTGGGTCTGTACCTTTGGGTCTGTACCTTTGGGTCTGTACCTGTGGGTCTGTACCTTTGGGTCTGTATCCTTTGGGTCTGTACCTTGGTCTGTACCTTTGGGTCTGTACCTTTGGGTCTGTACCTTGGTCTGTATCCTTTGGGTCTGTACCTTTGGGTCTGTACCTTTGGGTCTGTACCTTTGGGTCTGTACCTTGGTCTGTACCTTTGGGTCTGTACCTTTGGGTCTGTGCCTTTGGGTCTGTACCTTTGGGTCTGTACCTTTGGGTCTGTACCTTTGGGTCTGTACCTTTGGGTCTGTACCTTTGGGTCTGTACCTTGGTCTGTACCTTTGGGTCTGTACCTTTGGGTCTGTGCCTTTGGGTCTGTACCTTTGGGTCTGTACCTTGGTCTGTACCTTTGGGTCTGTACCTTTGGGTCTGTACCTTTGGGTCTGTACCTGTGGGTCTGTACCTTGGTCTGTACCTTTGGGTCTGTACCTTTGGGTCTGTACCTTTGGGTCTGTACCTGTGGGTCTGTGCCT